TTACATGCTATATCTTGGTTATCATTGCCACCATTTGTTTTTGTTTGTTTGTTTGTTTGTTTTGTTCCTTTGGATTTTTTGAAACAGGGTCAGACTATGTAGTTCATGTTGGCCTTGAATTTACTATGTAGCCCGGGCTGGCTTAGAACTCGAGGCAATCCTTCTGCCTCAGCCTCCTGATTGCTGGAATTGCAGGCATGCACCACCACACCTGGCTTTTGTTGAAAAGAATATTCTTTCACCACTTAACTGTTTTGGCATTCTTGTCGAAAATTCAACTGACAATAACTGGTGGCTTATTTCTGGACTCTTAGTTGCATTCCATTGATCTATATGTTTATCCTATACCTGTCTTGACTACTGTAGCTTGGTGTTAAAATTAGGAAGTTCTGTAACTTTTTAACTTCTACATTGGTTTGGCTATTCTAAGTTCCTTGGATGTCCATGTAAATCTTAGGATCAGCATGTCAATTTCTTCAAAGAAACCAGCTGCAGTTCAGTGGGCATTGTGTGGCCTGTGTGAATCAGCATTGCCATTTTAACAATAATAAGTCTTCCAATCCATGAAATGTAAGCTGTCTTTTCATTTATTTAGGAATTCTTCAATTTCTTTCCACAGTACTTTGTTTTCAGTTTATGCTTTCCACCTTTTTAAAAAATTTATTCCTAAATATTATATTCTTTTTGATGCATTGTAAATGAGTTTGCTTAATTTCACTTGAGTTGTTCATTGCTAGTGTATAGAAATTTAACAAATTTTTATATGTTGATCTTTCATCCTACAATCTTACTGAGATTGTTCATTAGTTCAAATTTTTTAATAGATTCCTTAGGATTTTCTGTATACAAGACCATGTTATCTGGAAACATCTGGATGTTTCCTACCAATGTGGATGTCTTTCCTGGCCCTCCCTTCATTTTCTTGCCTAACTGTGCTGGCTAGAACCTCTAGTACAATGTTGATAGAAATGGAGAGAGTTGAGCGGGGTGTGGTGGTGCACACCTGTAATCCTAGCACTTGGGAGGCTAAAGCAGGACTGCTGTGAGTTAGAGGCCAGAATGAGCTACATAGTGAGCTGAAGACCAGCCTGAACTACATAGCGAGACCCTGTCACAGAGAGAGAGAGAGAGAGAAAGAGAGGGAGAGCCTTGTCTGTTTCTGATCTTAGAAAAGAGAAGCATTCAGTATTTTACCATGAAGTATGACACTAATTGTGAGTTTTTCACAGATGCTCTTTAGCAAGGTTGAGAAAGTTCATTTCTATTCCTTGTTTGTCTTTTTCTGTCTTGCTTTCTTTTTGTGTCTTTAAAATATCATGAAGAAGCTGGGTATGGTGGGATGGTCCTGTAGCTCCAACTATTCAGGAAGCTGAGGTGGTATAATCCCTTAAGCCCAGGAATTTAAGACCAGCCTGGGCAACACAGTGAGAGCTGCCTCCTCCCAAATCATGAAAGGTATTGAATCTTGTCAAATATTTTTTCCATTTCTATAGGAATATGACTTTTATCCTTTCTTCTTCTGATATAGTGCATTAATTAACTTTTTATATTAAACCAACATTGAAGACAGACATTGTGATGTACATCTGTACCCCAGCAGTCTGGGAGGCTGAGGCAGGAGGATTAAAAGTTTGAGCCAAGCCTGAGCAACTTAGTGACTTAGAAAGACGTCTCAAAATAAAAAATGAGAAAAGGGCTGGGGGTGAAGTTCAGTGCAAAGGTCCTGAGTTCAATCTCTAATATGGGGCGGGGGCGGGGGGAGCACCTTGAATTCCTGATAAATTCTATGGAATATAATTCTTTTTATTTTGCTAGATTTGGCTTCCTAGTGTTTTTTGTTTTTGAGGATGTTTGCATTTCTGTTCATAAGAGCCCTCATGCCCACTTATAATTAATCCTATTCTAGACATACCATAAATGAGATCAGACCACATGTGACTGGCTTTCATGTAGCAGGTTTTCAAGAACCATACTGCAGTAGGTATCAGTACCTTTTTCCTTTTTATGGCTGAATAGTATTCCACTGTGTGGATCTAATTATTTTGTCTGTTCACCAATGGATGGATATTTAGATATTATGAATAATTTCATGAACCCATATATGCAAGTCTTGTCCTTGCATGGACATATGTTCCCATTCTCTTGAGCAGACAGACACCCTAGAATTACTGGGTCCTATAGTAGTGTACTGGTTAGCTTTCCCATTGCTTGAACAAAACACCTGCGAGTTAATGGAGAGGTTTATTTTGGATTATGCTTTCAGAGGCCCGTGATCAGCTGGGTCTAAACTGGAATCATCATGTTGGAGGAAAGCTGCTCAATTCATGGCCTCCAGGAAGCAGAGACCAGAAAAATGACAGAAAGGAAGGGGCCAGGGGCCAGATGTCCTCCCCAAGGTTCAACCTCCACGAGCTACTTCCTCCAGTTAGGCCCCAATTCCTGAAAGCTCATTAAGCTATGAACTCATCCACAAGTTAACCCATTGATGAAGTTAATACCTTCACAATCCAATCACCTCTCCAGGAATTTTTTCTTTTTTTTGAGACAGGGTCTCATTATAGATCCAAGGCTGATGGTTTGAATTTGAGATCTTCCTGCCTCAGTCTCCCAGTGCTGAGATTACAGGCTTGCACGCCAGGAGTCTCTCAGTTTAGTCAAGCTGATAATTAAGATTAACCAGCTCAAGGGCTGGGGATTTAGCTCTGTGGTTCTGCCACTTGCCCTGCGAGCACAAGGTCCCCGGTTCTATCCAAGGCACAAAAAAAAAAAAAAAAAAAAAAAGTAACCAGCTCAAGTAGTTTTATCTTTTTTTGCCCTTTTTTGTGATGTTGGATGTCAAACCCAGGGCCTCACACAGGACAGGCAAGCAATCTACCACTGAGAGCCACGTCCCCAGCCCTTGTTATCATTTTCAGCAGCTACCAAACTGTTTTCTAAAGTGGCCGGTACCATCTTCCATTCTGTCAATGCATGGGGGCTCCCTGGGATTTAAAACTTTGTTTCTCCCTCTACAAAGTGGTAATAACTGACTTTCTCCAACTGTTGTGGACCATGCTGGGCCCACACTATAACGTAAAAGCTTAAGCCACACAGTCCTTTCCCTGTGTGTTAATGTCCAGATCCTCAGGCCTTACTTCACCTATTGACTAGGTTGTCTTCATGCCTTGTAGGCAAACTGACTTCCTGGTGTCAGGTTCCACAACTTCCTCCTAGTCAGTCATGTCCCATGGCCAATAGGACCCCCAGACCTGGTCCCCCCATCCTGCCAACCCTAGGGTCTATCAGCCTTTTGGACCCAGCCATTTCCTGAGTAACAGCACGGATTGGCAGAGGTGAGCTTTGGGGCCACTCTCTCTGGCTTTTAGCTGCCCGTGTCCTTCCTTAGGGGCAGGAGCCAGCAAAATAATATTTGAGCAAATAAGCCAGCCCTTATTTGCTTGGAGACCAGAAGCATTGATTGCTCTACCTGGAAGGAGGTCTCCTTTCCCCCTCGTGTTTCAATGTCAGGCTGTTTCTGTTTATCCTTTAAGACATGGCTTGGAGAGCTCCGCCTCCAGGAAGCTGGCTCCCTAATATCCTCCCACTCCTGTGATGTCACTGCTGCTGCATCGTTAGTAATCCTGTAATCCTGTGTCTGTGTCTTACTCGCCTCCATCTCCCAGTGCCTAGTGCGTAACAGGCATTCCATACCCATAATAATCACAGCCAGCAAAGCACTAATGCTGACAGGTCAGTGTCAAGTAAACCCTATGAAGAGGCTCTTGAGCTGGGCTCTGAAGAGCATGTGGGGACCCGCTCAGCGGAAATGGGAGTGCAGGACCTCCCGGGTAGGGTAGAGTGAGCAGCAGGCACACAGGCCCAGGAGAGGGAAAACGTGTTTTCAGGAGCTGTGTGGCTATGGGTGGTGGGAAGGGCAGACAGGAACCACGGAGGGGCAATGAGTAAAAGAACATGATGAGAACTACATACTATGGATTGAACCCAGGGTCTTGGCACTAAGTTTCATCCCAGGTCATTCATTCATTCATATATTAATAGACAGGATTTCACTAAGTTGCCCAGGCTGGTATTGAACTTTTGGGTCCTCCTGCCTCAGCCTCCCAGAGTGCCAGGATTATAGGTATATATCACCACACTTAAGTTGAGACCTACATTTCAGAAAGGTCTCGCTCTGGCCTGGGCAACTTGGCAAGTCCTTGACTCAAAAATAAAGAAATAAAAAGGGCTGAGATATAGCTCAGTGTAAAGGCCCTGAGTTGAATTCCCAGTACCTGCAAAAAAATGGAGGGAGGGCGAGGAGGTGGGGGAGGCCTCTGGGATAGCAGGAGGTACACACTTTCAAAATACAGTTGGTTAAAGTCATCTGAAGGGCTCATTAGGACCCAGACTTTTAGGTCCCACCCCTGACTCCACACTCTTCAGGCCTGGGGTGCAGCCTTGGATCTGGATTTCTCACCAGTTCCAAGCTGATGCCAAGGCTGCTGGTCTGGGGACTCCACTTTGAGAACCCCTGGTGCAGAGGATGAGCTGGAGGGGAGTGTGGAGCCAGTGAGACTCAGGAAGGTGACTGAGGTGACCCAGAGACAGGGTGGGCCACGTTTCAGGCCCAGATGCTGCTGTGTCCTAATAGTGAGATGTCAGTCACAATGCTTCTTGCCACAGAGGGACAAGAAGGCTGCTTGAGGGGAAATCAGCTGGAAAATATGCTCCTGCCCAATGGCTCCCTATTTCTGCAGTGGCGTACCAGACTCACAGCTGGTAATGAGCTTCATTCAGAAAATACAACACAGACAAGAGGTCCAGAGCTGCCGTCGTTTAATGCCACAATCACACACAAGGTGCCTGAGCTGGTGCTCAGCAGGGTGGGACCCATCCCAGCGGTAGTGATCCCTATAGAGTCCCAGCATGGGAAGCAGGTTCCCATGGCCCAGACCCAGCCTCAAGAAAAGGACTGCTCCAAGTCTCCTTCCTTCTCACCCAGGCTTGGGCGGGTGGCCAGCTTGTGGCCTCCATGGTCACTGAGGGCCACACGGAAATACAGCGTCTCTGATGCTGAGACCTCAGGATGCAACAAGAACCAGAAAGCTGTTCAAAGAGCCCAGAGGCTTTCACTTTAAATCCACTAAGCTGCTCAACACTCAGACACCAGAGCACCCAAACTCTCGGCAACACCAAACACTGCAGAACGGAGGCTGAGAATGCTCGGGAGGGGAAACAAAGTCAAGTCACCCTAAAGCAAGGCTCCCTCTTCCCTTGCACCCATGCTAGCGGACCACATTAGGTGGAGAAAGACGTGTCCTGACACCTTCAGTAGTAAGAAATCTCTGAATTCCCAACTTTACTAACAATTTAATGCTACCCAGTTCCCTGGGGTCCCGAGCCTTTGATGTCCCTGAGGACATGAGTGACTTGGGGATCACTAGCGGGACTGAGAAATTTCCTGGTAGAAATCACCAACCACAGAAACAGGCTTTTCTCCTGACTTAGTTTTAAAGTTTCTGTGGCCCCCAGAGGAAATACCATTCAAAATGGTGTTCTTAAAGCACTCTACCGATATGGGGAGGTTTTAGACTGTTGAAGTAGCACAGGTCTATAACCCTATCACCCTGGGAAACTGAGGCGGGAGTATCCCAAGTTCAAGTCCTGATTAGGCAACTTAGTGAGACCCTGTCTCAAAATTAAAAAAAAATAAAAAGGGCTGGGAATGTAACTCAGTGTGAAGACCCTGGATTCAATCCCCAGTGCTGTTTTAAAAAAAAAAAAGGCGGGGGAGGTTTCAAGTGTTACTGGCAAGAAGGAGGCACAAGGTTATTTCCCACACTGAGCCTGGGGCTTAGTCTGGGAGGTCCAGCCCCTTGGCCAGGCAGGGTGCGAAGGGGACAGGACAGGATGAGCAGGGGCAGCTGCTCAGGAAGGCCCTCTGTCCAGCCCTCTGGCTGGGCCACTGGGAAACGAGCTCAAATTCCAGGCAGACTTAGCATTAACTCATTCCTGATGGGTCCTGAGGGCCTCTTCACTCCTCTCCAATTTAATTCTGGGAGAAAGCTCCAGTCAGAGCCCAAGGCATGGAGGTCAAGTGTCTCCGTCCTCAGAATTGGTACAAGGTGAGGGCCAGGGATTTAGCTCAGTAGCACTGTGCCTGCCTTGCAAGTGCAAGGTCCTGAGTTTGATTCTCCATACGGGGGGTTGGGGTGGGGCAGGGGGATTGGTACAAGGCTAAAAGTTAGGCCAGTGGAGATCTCGAAACAGCACTGCCACCTTTAGCCCCACTTGCTCCAAACCACGTTGCTTGCAGCACCCCTGTTCCCACCCAAGGGCCAAGGTGGCGCCTTTGGTCCTGAGGACGCTGGACTTCTGGGAGGGTGGGCTTCTGAGGAGACCTGAGAGTGTTTAGGGGTGGAGTCAGGCACACAAAACAAGAGTGGGGGCATCTGTGGGCTGCTCCCCCTCCTGGGAGGAGCCAATGTGAGACCCCAGGCAGGCGAGCCACAGGCAAGACCAGACTGCCCCCAGCTGGGCATCAGCTTACATTGGGTCCCACACCCAGGTAAGCCCACCTTCCCGACTTCACACCCAGACAGCCAGCTCAGGAACAACCCTAAGAAGCCAACTTCATACTTTAAATCAACTTAATGCTACAAATTTAAAGAAAAAAAAGTGCTGCCCAGCTGAGCCCCTGAGGAACCCCTGCTCCCTGAGGGTGGGTGGAAGGCCTCTCAGACCCTCAGCCTTGGGTGCCCCTCTACAGAAGGCACAGCCTTGAATCAGCCATCCCAGGTGGGGTGGGGAATGTGTGGAATGGCCAAGTCTCTGGAGGAACAGGGTGGAGACAAAAGACCTCCTCAGGCCTGAGGGCCTGAGGGCCTGAGGCAACACCAGCCCATCTCTTTCTTCATCAGTTGTGGAAGCCTGGTCCACAGTAAAGGCCCTTTCCTGTCACCCCTTCAGCATTCCAGTGACAAAATGAGTAAACATGCCACCAAGCCCTGGTCACCTCTGTCCTTGGAGGTCTGTGTGACAGTTGGTGGGGAAACAGAGGCCCTTAAAGAATCAGTCAGGCAGGGTGACACATGCCTGTGATTCCAGCACTCTGGGAAGCTGAGGCAGGAGGACTGCAACTTCCAACCCTGCCTGGGCAATTTATCAAGACCCTGTCTCAAAACATAAAAAGGGCTGGAGATGTAGCTCTGCATGAAGGCCCTGGGTTCAATCCCCAGTTTAAAAAAAAAAAAAAAGAGGAGGAGGAGGGGGGGAAGTGGAGGAGGAAGGAAAGGGAGGAGATACCAGCAGTTCCTGGGGATCCTTCCTGAGGCTTCCTGTTTTCACTTCATTCCTCTGTTTAGGTAGAATTGCCTCTGCTTTTCCTTGATCTGGGAGGAACTCTGAGGAAAGGAGCCGGTGGCAGCCATGACAGCTGCCTCCACATTCCTATCTGTTTCCTCGGGGAGGTTCTTATCTGATTCCCTAGAGTCTTGTCTCCCTAGAGCTTTTACGTTCTACGAGGAGAGGGAAGAATTCCATAGGAAGCAGGACTCCTTAATTGACTGCTCCTGTTTCTTCAGAAGCCTCAATGCTGCCTGCCCCAGGATGGCTACTAGAACCTTCTCTGGGCTGACACTTCAGCTGGGTATGTCAGGCTGAGAGTAGGCAGGGATCTGAGGGCTTGGCACTTACTAGAATTATAAGCCCTAAGTGCAATTAGCATTCCAAAAAACTGGACAACCCCTCAGAAACCCAGTCTCCACCACTGAGGGGAAACCGGGGAGTTGGCCTAGGCCTGACTGAGAAGTCTTGTAGAAACTAGAACACTCTCCCTGCTAAAACTCAGGGAGGACAAACAAACAAAACTCAACCTGAAATAAATACAAGGGCATTAAGTGCTTCTTGAGAAATCAAGGGTCCTAATTACCTCTCAGAAGGAGGTGGCAGGGCCTTTCCCTAAACCTAGTCACCTGTACCTATAGTCCTTCATGTGAGAGGTCAGAGGTCAGAAGAGGAAGGACAGGACCCAGCCCCTGATACCCTCCTCACCCACATCCTCCATATCTCCCAGACACCTGCTGGCAGGGAGGTTGGGAAGGAGAGAAGACCGACATGCCCTGAGGGTGGCACCCTGTGTCCAATGTTCCCATGTGGGCAGAGGGCCTGTCAGTGTGTCTGTGAGGAGGTAGAGACAGGTGTGGCGCTTCTAGGGGCAGGCGAAGCTGCTCAATTAATCAGCAGGTCCCCGAGGTCATAGGAGTCAAAGAGGTCACTGACGCCCTCACCGCTGTCCAGGCCCCACAGGTAGTCGTCCTGGTCCAGAGGTGGGGAGAAGCTGATCAGAGGGGAGTTGCAGGGCAGGGTTGGAGACAGGAACTGGTCCTCAGTCTGCTGTAGAAGGGGATGTGTCAGCTCCAGCATACTGTCAGTGGCCTCCAAAGGGATGAGGGATGGTGGTGGTGGCGGTGGCAGTGGGTCCTGCCGGGGAGTTGGCGCTGGCGCTGGAGACAAATAGAAAAAGGTTATCCTGGACCTCAGCTCATAGGACAGCCTTCCTGTTTGCTCTCTGAATGACTGCGTTCCTACCTTCCTCCCAGCCTGCTCACACCTAATGGCATAGGCACACTCTTCCTTTCTCAGCACCAGCCCCAAAACCTTCCTCATTCTCCTACTGTCCCTCTCCCCTCCAGTGGGTGCAGTGCACTCCCAGCATCTGCACCCAAATCATTCCTTCTTTCCCTGAATCATTAACTGTCCTCACTCTACTGCACCATTCCCATCAGAGCACACATATATTCTAAGAATGTGTATCTTTCAAAAGCAGCCTTCCAGACTGGGCATGATGGCGCACACCTATGATCCCAGCGCTCAGGAGGCTGAGCCAGGAGGATCGCCACGAGTCCGAGGCCAGCCTAGGCTACATAGTGAGTTCAAGCTCAACCTGAACTACATAACAAGACCCTGCGGGTCCTCCCTAAGGGACAGTCCTTTTGACAAATGGTGCTGAGAAAGCTGGATGTCCACATGCAAAGAAATAAAGTTGGACCCTTAACTAACAAAAATTAATTCAAAATAAAAGACTAAAATTAGATCTAAAACTATAAAAATTTTAAAAGAAAACAGAACAAAAGCATCATGACAATTGGATTTTTCAATGATTTCTTGGGTGACACCAAAGGCCAAGCAATAACAGTAAAAAAAAGATAAACTGGACTTCATAAAAATTTTAGCTGGGTGTTGTGGTGAATGCCTGTAATCCGAGCATTTTGGGAGGCTGAGGCAGGAGGATCACGAATTCAAGCCAAGCCTGGGCAACTTAGTGAGATCCTGTCTCAAAATAAACAAGGGGGACTGGGGATTTAGCTCAGTGGTTTTGCCACCTGCTGCGCAAGCGTAAGGACCCAAAATCCCGGTACCAAAAAAATAAAATAAAATAAACAAGGGCTGAGGATGTAGTTCAATGCAAAGGCCCTGGGTCCAATCCTAGTACTACAAAATAAATAAATAGGTAATAATAAGTTTAGGCACCAAAAGACAAAATCAAGGGGCCGGGGATTTAGCTCAGTGGTACTGCACCTGCCTCAAAAGCGCAAGGTCCCGAGTTCGATCCCAGTACCAAAAAAAAGAGAGACACAAAATCAACAGAGTGAAAAGGTAACCCACAGAGTGGGAGAAAATATGAAATATTTGCAATTTTTTTCTTTTTGTACTGGGGATCAAACTCGGGACCTTGTGGTTTCAAGGCAGGCGCAGTACCACTGAGCTAAATCCCCAGCCCTTGCAAATAATATATATCCAGAATCTATATAGCAAAATACTAAAACTCAACAACAAAACCCCTGATTCAAAATGGGCAAAGGACTTGAATAGACATTTCTCCAAAAAACATATGCAAATATACAGTGAGCACTGAACAGATGCTCAGTGTCACTAATCAGGGAAATGCAAATCAAAACTACAATGGCATACCACTTCACACTCATTGCTGCTACCTTCAAAAAACAAGAGCGGGCAAGAATGTAGGGAAATTAGAATCCTTGTGCATCACTGGTAGGAATGTAAAATAATACAACGACTATGGATAACAGTATCCCTCAAAAAGTCAAAAATAGAGGGGCTGGGCATGTAGCTCAGTGGTAGAGCTGCATGAAGTCTGGGTTCAATCCCCAGCACCATACACATAAAAAATTAAAAATGACCAGGCATGGTGGTGCACACCTGTGATCCCAGCACTTGGGAGGCTGAGGCAGGAGGATCACCATGAGTTCAAGGCCAGCCTGGGCTACATAGTGAATTTGAGGCCAGCCTAAACTACCTAGTCTCAAAAAAAAAAAATATATTGGGGCTGGGGATATAGCTCAGTGGCACCACGCCTACCTCCCAAGCCCAAGGTCCTGAGTTCGATCCCTGGTACCAAAAAAAAATTTTTTTTAATGTAATTACAATATGATTCAGCAATTCCATTTCGTGGCATATACCCCAAAGAATTGAAAGTGGGGGTCTCAAAAGACATTTGTACACTCATGTTTATAGTAGTATATTCACAATAACTAAAACATGGAAGCAACCCAAGTGCCCATTGACAGGTGAATGGATAAACAAAATGTGAATACACACAACGGAATAGTATTCAGCCTTAAAAAGGAAGGAAATTCTGACATGGAGGGATCTTGAGAACACTGTACAAAGTGAAATAAGCCAGTCACAAAAAGACAAACACTGTATGATTTTATGTTTAAGAGATACAGACTTAGAATGTATCAAACTTGGAGGCAGAAAGTAGAATGGTGGTTGCCGGAGGCTGGGAAGAGAGGAGGAACAGAGCTTTTGTCTCATGGATACGGTTTTGGTTTGATAACAAAAGTTATGTGGAGATGATGGGGGGAGGTGAAGTTGCCAGCATTATGAAAATATTTACTAACACTGAACTGTACACAAAAATAATTGAGATGGTAAATTTTACATTACATGTATTTTATCACACACAAAAATGAGGGGGAAAAAGTATACCTGACCTCATGACCCTTTCTAATGACCGGCCTTTCTTATTACTCTTTTTCATTGTAAGTTTTTTCAAAAGTTTGAGAAAGCATGTACTTATTCTCTACTTCCCCATCACTATTCATTCTTCAGCCCATTTTAATCTGTGGTCGTCCCCAACAAAGGACTGAACCAATGGCCTCCTTGCTGCTAAATCCAAAGGTGAATTCAAGGGCCTCACGTGATGCAGCTGCTCAGGGCTTTCTCCTTCAACACCTTCTTCACCTGCCTTCTGTTCTGGTTTGGAGCCACAATGGCCCCCCAAAGGCTCACGTGTTGAAGGGGAGAATGTGGCAGTGTTCAGAGGTGAATAGATCATAAGGATTCTAATTTCATCAAGTGGATTAATCCGCTGGTGAATCCATAATATGATGGCATTAATGGAAAGTGATGGAAACTTAGGAGGTGAGGCCTACCTAGTTAAAGTGAGTGGGTCAGCTGGGCATGGTGATGCACTTTGGGTGGCTGAGGAAGGATTGAAACTTTGAGCTCCACCCTGGGCAACTTAGTGGTTTATCAAGAGCCTATCTCTAGGGCTGGGGATTTAGCTCAGTGGTTCCGGCACCTGCCTTGAAAGCGCAAGGTCCTGAGTTTGACCCCCGGTACCACACACACACAAAAAAGACCCTGTCTCCAAAAAAAGTGGGGGAGGGTGCTGGGGATGTAGCTCTGTGTAAAGGCCTTGGGTTCAATCCCCAGTACTGCACAAACGGGGGGAGAGGGAATCATGGGTGCATGTCCTTGGGGACCATATCTTGTCCCTGGCCCCTTTCTTTTAGTTCTTTCCCTTCTCTGCTTCCTGGCTGCCATAAAGTAAACAGCTTTTCTCCATTACACCCTCAGGCCCACAGAAATGGAACCACCTGAGCATGAACTGAAACCTCTGGAATAGACCTTTCCTCCTTTGGGTTGATTTTCTCAGGTGTTTTGTCACAGTGAAGAAAAGCTGAGCACAGCTTCCCATGAATAGATCTTCCCAGTTCTCCTCTTACCTCTTTGGCCACTTCCCCTTGGCTAGATCCTCTTTCTCTTCCCTCTTCTAAGCCTTGAAAGCCCCAGGCTCCATCCTCTAACTCCCCTCTCCTGTGGCTGCACTCCTAGACACCTCTGCCCCAGAGCCCTGGGCTCCAACACTGTCTTCAACCTCACTGCTTAGACAGCTATGATATATCCTGGTCTCCCCTGAGTCTGTGGCTCCTCTAGTTTTCCTTCATCACAGTTAACGAGTCCCCACTCACTCAGGGCCAAAATACCCAAGAATCACCCAGAATCCTGCCATTGTGCCAGTATCCAATCTAGCATCCTGTCCAGGAGCTACTGTGAATACACAAGCTGCCCATTTCTCTTCTGTCGCACTGCTGTGATCCTGGTCCCAGCCGAGTCCCTACTCCCCTGGGTCACTGCAGGAGACTCCTCACTGGTCATCTTGCTTTGACCCTCACCCCTTGCAGCCCATGTTCTAAATTAAAAATCTTAATGGCTTCACACTGGCTTGGAATAAAATCCGAGTTCTGGGCAGGCCTGAAATGACCTGGTACAATCTGGCCCCCGTCTACATTTACCCTTTTCAATTTCCTTGCAGTTCCCGCTCCACCTCCCCAGCCATGCTTTCCTCAGCACAAGCTCATGTTTCCTCGGAGGAAGGTGATTTCTCACACAGGGACAAGGAAAGGGAGACCAGAAATTGCCCATCAAATAGATCTTAATACTCAGAGTCCCAGCGTTGGAGTCATTCCTTAAGCCTCAAACAAATATACTTTGAAAATACAGCTGTGATGGTTGGCAGAAGGCCTGGTCACCCTCGGACTGGCTCAGTACTTGTCATGTTTCCAGGCCTCCATTTCCTCACCCTGAAGGATGATGACGATAACTGCACATATAACTGCACATTTACCTCACGGGGTACTGAGAGGATGGCCTGACCGGAGCAGGGAAAGAGCCGGTCTGCACCAACCTGAGGTGGGCCCGCAGGCCTCCCTGGTTCCTATGCACAGCAGCACTGGGCTGGGCGTGGCTCAGGGGTGGAGCACTTGCCTAGCATGTGTGAGGCCCTGCATCCCATCCCCAGCACTGCTAGAACAAGAACCAAAACCCAACAGTTCCCATTTACCAAGGGTTACGACAGCCTGGCTCTGCTCTGAGGTGAGGCTTGGTCCACTTCCTCAGACCCTCAGTGGCCCCTAGGGAGGTAAAGCCATTAGCTCTATTTATAGATGAGGCAACTGAGGCCCAAAGAAACCAATTAAATTTGAACTAAAAAAATCTAATGTTTGAAGCCAGGTGCACTGGTGGCTGACTGTAATTCCAGAACTCTGGGAGGCTGAGACAGGAGCATCACAAGTTCAAGTTCAGCTTGGAAAACTTAATGAGATCCTGTCCTAAAATTAAAAAATTAAAAAGGGCTGGGGATGTAGCTGAGTGTGAAGACTGGGTTCAATCCCAACACGTGCACAGAAGAGCACCACCCTAATGTCTGCTTGGCATGGCGGTGCTGATACAGTAATAGGCCTGACTTGGGAATGAGAAGGCTGTGGGCTTGCCAGTCCTGCCTCTCTTGTCAACTGTCGGACGTGGTGGCTGTTTTCTCACAAGGAAAAGCAAGGATCTGCCTGGCAGAGTCACTGGAAGCAGAAATTGGGATAAGGTGTGTAGAAAGTCCTACTGCAGGCTTGACCTTGCCCTTTCATGCCCTGATTGAGTCCAGAGCCGACCTGCCCTTTGGTATTCTGACTGTGTGCCATACTTTCATGGCTGTTTTTCTATCCCCTAAACTCCACCAGGCCCTACACAGTAATGCTCAGTTCACATCAGGTGTTAAAAGCCAAACTCATGCTGGAGCATCACCTGTAACCCATGCAATATTCATGAGGGAATTTTTTGTTTGTCTGTCTGTTTGTCGAGACAAGTTCTCTCTATGTTGCCCAGGCTGGCCTTGAACTCTTGTGTTCAAGTGATCCTCCTGCCTCAGCCTCCCAAGCAGCTGGTACACACCACCACACACAGCTTGAGGAGGGTATTTCAAGTGTCCCTATTTTAGAGATGTAGAAACCAAGGCTCAGAGAAGTTAAAGTGACTTGCCCACTATCACCAAGTCACCAAGAGGTGAGGTACAAGCAGGAACCCAAGTCTCCCAATTTCAAATCCTGTCCTGTCAGCTTCAATTTAGGTTTTCTTCAGAATGCCAGAGTCTAGAGAGGGGTTAGAGGCAACTCTTGTTCAAACCTCTTCTATCATGGATGAGAGAAACAGGCTGCAAAGGGTTAGCAGTCCTCCTGGTGATGCCTAACCAGGGAGAGGACCCAAGTCCCAAAATGGCAGTGACCTCCACTTTGGGCCTGGCCTCTGGTGCTCAGGCCTCAAAATCCCTCTACTTCAGGCCAGAACATGGAACATGTGTGTGAGGGTGTACATGCAGGTATGTGAAGCCTTCAGGAAAGCTTCCTCCTCCTTCCAGAGCAGGGGCAATGCTGAGGCCATGTGACAAGGCTGGAGGGGCAGGCATGGCATGGGGCCTGGCTTCCAGGCTGGCTCCACCAGTGACTGCTTTGTACCCTCTAATCTCTGGGGCATGGATCTTTTTCTTTTTCTTTTGTGGCGGTACCGCACTCAGGACCTTGCGCTTGCCAGGCAGTCACGGCACCACTGAGCTACATCCCTGGCCCCCTATCTTTTTCTTTTTTTTGACACAGGGTCTCTTTATGTATTCCAGGCTGGCCTTAAACTCACTGTGTAGCCAAGGCTAGCCTCAAACTCATGGCAATACTCCTGTCTCAGCCTCCCGAGTGCTGGGATTACAGGCATGCACCACAACCAACTGGGCTCAGGTCTTGATCTGTCAAAATCTGGTAGCAACTTCACCCTGGTATACTCCATGGGGTCCATCACCTCCACCTGAGGACTTGGGACAAGTGAAGGTGGTTCTAACTCTGGAGACCCTCGAACATGTTGACAGAGAAGGCAGAGCAGCAGGAGGAACAACAGGGTGGGGCACAAGTCTGGGGTAGGAGATAGGCAGTGGGGAGGTGCCCAGGGGACAGATGGCTGGCACAGGAAGCCACAAACACAGGGCAGACTACTAGAAAAGAGGTGGGAGTCTGGGTTCTGGTCCCGTTTCTACCATCAACTTGCTGTGTGACCTTAGAGAAGCCACCTGCCCTCTCTGGGTCTCTAGTTTATTTGTATGTAAAATGAAGGGTTGAGTTAGATCAACAAAACTTTCTAAAAGGCCAGACAGCATTTTAGATTTTGTAGGACACTTGTGGTCTCTGTAACGCAATTGCCTCCTCCTCAACTCTTTAAAAATGTAAAACTCCAGAAAACTCTTGGGCAAGTTTTACTTGAAAGGAGAGCAAAGGAAAGTGACTCTGAGCTGGGAGTGGAGGTGCATGCCTGCCATCCCAGACCCTCAAGAGGTTGAAGCAGGAGGATCAGAAGTTCAAGGCCAGTCTGGGTAACTTAGTGAGACTTGTCTCAAAATAAAAAATAAAAGGAGATGAGGATGGAGCTCAGTGCAAAGGCCCTGGGTTCAATCCCCAGTACCATGGGGGGAAAAAAGTGAAAAAACAAGGTAAAAACCCCTCATTCTAGCTTGTGAGCCATGTAAAAGCAGTCCAGCTTTGACCTGACAGGCAAGTTTGTCAACTTTTGAGTTAAAGAAATGAAATCCAACCTGTAGACCCCCTACCACCACCACCACCACCATGCATCTTCCATCAGACCAGTTCTAGCTCTGCCTTGATTCAAACACAAGGGTCCTAGGGAAGGAATCTTGCTGCAAATGGAACAGGAAGTGGAACGCTGGCCACATGGCCCTGTGGACTCCTGCCAGTCTAACCTAGGGTGGAGCCCAATAAAGGGCAAGAGTATGAGGGGCCTTCACAGCTTTCTATTTCTGCCCCTCTAGACTCCCACTCTCCTTGCATGCTGTCAGGTCTTCCCCTGCCTCTTCACTCCCTGGCAATTTCCTGCCAGGCATCACCAGCTCTACCACCCACTTCCCAGCCAGGTGCCCCTTCCTTGATCTATTTTCTACTTGTGGAGAGAGCACTGGGATAGCAGTGTGGAGACCAAGTTCAAGACATAGCCAGAAAAAAAAAAAAAAAAGAGAGAGAGTCATAGCCTGAGTGTGATATTGGACACACTTATAATTACAACACTCTGGAAGGCTGAGGCAGGAGGTTCACAAGTTTGAGGCCAGCCTGGGCAATGTATAAAGACCCTGTCTCCAAATAAAAAAATCTAAATGAGCTAGGTGATGATGTAGCTGTGTGAAAGCCCTGGGCTCAATCCTCAGGAACACACACACACACACACAACATAGCCATGGACCCTCCCAGCTGGGGGAACCTAAGGTAAGTCACATCACTTCTGTGGCTGTTTATTTATCTCTAAACTGGAAATAATAAAACCTACTCCAAGAAATGTTATGAAGAGTATCTGAGATGGAAGTGCTTGGCCCCTGGGCATGGTTCAATAAACCTCAGTTACTACTTTCCAAGAAAGTTTTGAGCCTCCTCAAGAACCATACACTTTCCCCTCACCATGGGTTTACTGCATGTGGGGCTGCACCCTTAGCAGCCTGCACAGTAGCATCAGCCCTGGCGGTAGTGGCAGTGGTAAGGGTAGTGGCCGTGGTAAGGGTAGTGGCCAGTAGTTACTGCCAAGCCAAGTGCTTTACTTATGATCTCTAATCCCACAATAACCTAAGAGTTCCATATTAACTACTATGCCCAATGTACAGATGGGGAAATTGAGGCAGAGAGATTACTTCATCTGTTCAGTCACACATAGCTGGTAAGGGGTGGAGCTGAGATTCAAATCCAGACCCTCCTCTGCCCCAGAGCAGTATCAATTCCACACAGAAACAGGGGTGAACACACACTTCCTAAAGCAGAAAGTGCTATGCACACCTGTGGGGAGACAACTATGCCCGTAGCCACTGGGAAGGTGGGAGGTGTCGAACAAATGTAAGTGCAGAAGAGGAAAAAGGCCAGTCACTCTCCCCACCTCCTCCCCCTACCTGAGGAGGCTGCAGGCTCTGAGACCCCAGGGTCGGCGCTGGTGGTAGGCAGGGTGCAGTCAGGGCTGGGGCTGAGGGGGGAGGTGGAAGGGAGAGGCTCCTCGGCTGGACTGTCAGGCTCCTGCACCTCCTCCGGGCACAGGTAGACTTCAATGGGCCCCTGGGTGCTCTTCAGATATATCTGCAGGTTCTCCTGGGGAGAAAGAGAAGCCGGTCACTGGTCGGGGCATCTGGACAGTGGCTCATGGGTCACTGTGTGGGCAGGGACACAGGAGGCTGCGGCTCTGCGCCTAAGCAAGTCAGGCCCTGAGCTGGACACTGAGGCCTGCCTGCCACCCAGCTCCTTGGCCCCTTCTTCTAGCGGGAACACCTTGATTTTCCTTTGGGAACCCCCCTCCCACAGGTTATGCAGTTGAGGGAGAGGAGTCCCCAACTTCAGGGGCTGAACTTGGGAAAGTTAGAGGGACGGGATTGGTCCAGGGAGGCACATGGCTCAGGTGAACCCAGGGCTCTGGGTGGAATTATGGGAAATGAGCTCCCTTGCGGGGATTGTGGGGGGCAGGCAGCTGAGCTGATATCACAAAACTCTGTTCCCCACCTGGGAACAGAGACAGTACAGAGAGAGGCAGGGTGGGGACTGGGGACAGATAGCTTTGAGTCACAGCTCGGGCCCCTTGCCTCCAGTCTCCAAATTTCCCCCAGGCTCATCACATGGTCCCCTCCCCTTCCCCCTCAGACTACACCAGATAGCCCTGGCTTTCTGTTACCTGTAACCAGGAGTCCTGAGACTTGGTCTTCCCACCACTGCCCTTTCCCTACCATATACCCACAATGCAAGCCACAGGGGACTGCATACAAAGCCAGGCCTCCTGGCACTTGTCTGCAATCCCAGCATTCTGGGAGGCTGAGGCAGGAGGTTCACAAGTTCAAGCCCAGCTAGTGATTTAGTGAGACCAATCTCAACAAATAAAAAGGGATTGGGGATGTAGCTTAGTGTGAAAGCCTTGGGTTCAATGCTCTTTGCTTCCCCTCCTTCCCAAAGAAGGGCTGCACACATGCTCCGTTCTTCATGCAGTGTTCCACATGGACAAACCCTATCTTTTTCCTTTCTGCAGTGCTGGGGAGAAAACCTGGGGGCCTTGAACATGCTAGGCAAGGGCACTACCACTGAGCTACATGCCCAGCCCTGTACTCAGTCTTATCTTTTTGTTTTTTTGGTACCGGGGATTAAACTCAGGACCTTGTGCTTGCAAGGCAGGGGTGGCACCACTGAACTAAATTCCAGGCCCAATCTTGTCCTCTTTATTGTGGTACTTGGGGATTGAACCCAGAGCCTTCACACTGAGCTACCTCCCAAGCCCGTTTTTATTTTTAATTTTAAAATAGGGTCTCACTAAGTCACTAAATTGTCTAGGCATAGCTTGAAGTTGTGATCCTCTTGCCTCGGCCTCTGTTGCTCTTTTCAGCTTCTGTCTACTGCACCAGCTTGGAAGCCACTAGTGTTGCCAGGGACACAAGAATGAACCAGGAGAGCTTGGGGCTGTGCAGTGCCAGGGACAGAGTTAGCAAAACTGACCGGGACTCTCCAATCCTGTTCTACATCAAAAGCTTCCCCTCTCACCTCAGCTTTGTCTGGCACTTCCAGTCTTGTCTGTGGAGGGGCCTTGACAGCGATCACCGTCTGCTCCTTAAAGTTGCCCATGGCGCGGATGTCTTGGTAAGTCACATAGGCCAGCGTAGGGGCAGGAGGGTCAAGAAAAGTGACTGTTCAGAATTGAAACTCCCAGTCAGGAATGGTGGCCAACGCCTGTAATCCCAACACTTGGGAGGCTGGGGCAGGAGGACTGAAAGTTCGAAGCCAACCTGGGCTACATAGTGAGACCCTGTCTCAAAGCCCCTCTCCCCCAGGTCAAACCTCCAGGCACCTCTTGTAAGTTCCTGAACATCACTGTCTCACTTCTATGCAGCTCAGAAATACCTAAGCACTGTAACCTGTCCTTTGAATATTATCAGCTGTCTTGAATTCCTTTAGCAAATTGAGATATAAATCATTTTTAATGCTGCTTTTTAATCAGCTAATTATATATGTATATATACATATCAGCTTTTTATATAAAGACTACCTCTCACACTAGATCATTAGCTCTGAGAAGGCAGGAAGATTTTGGGGGTGAGAGGGGTATTGAAACAGGGTCTCACTATATAGCTCAGTCTGGCCTTGAACTCACCATGAAGCCCAGGCTGGCCTCAAACTTGTGGTGATCTTCCTGCCTCAGCCTCCTGACTGCTGAGATTATGGGCATGCGCTACCACACCTGGCTAGAAAGATTTTTAAAATTTCCTTGTATTTCTCACAATGTCTAGCATTCTTCCAAAAACACAAGTTCAGATCCAAAACCCAATGAGACATGAAACTATTTGGAAAAACATGAAAGAGCCTTAGTACAATCGATGTCCATTGACTCCATCATTTGTTTCTTTTTTTTTTTGGTACTGGGGATCGAACTTGGGACCTTGTGCTTGCAAGGCAGGCAGCGGAACCACTGAGCTAAGTCCCTGGCCCAACTCCATCATTTCTATCCTAGGAAGACAACCTAGGGTAATACCAAAAATATCGGAAAACATTCTACATTGAAGATGTTCATTGCCATGTTGCTTATAAAAATGGAAATCAGAATGATTTAAATATCAATTCTAGGCCTTATCAACAAACTAGAATACAGTCTGAGTAGGGAAGTCTGAAACCACTTTTTTAAAATTTTAAAACAGAATCTCAATCTTGCAATCCTCCTGCATTAACCTCTCATGTAGAGTTGGGTTTTATATTCTACCATGTCTAGCTCTTCAAACTACCTTAATATGAGGTTCAACCATATAGACTTGCTTCATTAAAAGTAACAAGTGGCCAAATAACAGCAATTTTATGTGAGTCCATCAAATAGATTGGAAAGATATGTAACAGCATTGAAAAATGTTTATGGTAATACACCAAATGGAGAATGTCATATACAGCAGGTGCATAATTATATTCATTTTTTATTTTTATTTCTTGGGTTTTTTGTTTGTTTGCTTGTTTTCTGAGAAAGGGTCTCAGGCTGGGGATTTAGCTCAGTGGTTCTGGCACCTGCCTCTCAAGCACAAGGTCCCAAGTACCAAAAAAAAAAGAGGGACAGGGTCTCGCTTTGTAGTCCAGGCTGGCCCTGAACTCACTATGTAGCCCAGGCTGGCCTTGAACTCACAGCGATCCTCCTGCCTCAGCCTCCCAAGTGCTGGGATTACAGGCATGCACCACCATGCCCAGCCATAGTTATATTTAAATAACACATAAGTGCATTGTTAGGGACAATAAACTGGGTATGGTGGTGCAGCCCTGTAATCCTAGCACTCTGGGATGATAAGGCAGGAGGATTCCAATTCTGAACCTACTGTGAGCAATTTAGCAAGATCCAGTCTCAAAATAAAAATTTTTTAAAGGGCTGAGGATGTAGCTCAGAGCAAAGGCACTGAGTTTAATCCCCAGTACTGCTAAATAAATAAACTATTTGTTTTATTTTTAATAGATAGTCTTCCAAGGAAAAGCCACTGAAGAGGGAAGAAACTAATGTGCCTGACCCCTAATGGGAGTCAGCCTCTGCAGGAAGTACTGAATCCACTCTGAATAGATGGAAACCTGCATTAGGCCCTGCTTCCGACCCCACCCTCCATGAAGAGGATATCTCTTGTTGGCTGTATCCTCGGTCAGGTGCTTGAAGCTGAGGGAACAGCTCTGGATGAGCTGGTCCAAGGCCTGCTCGGTGCTTGTCAGATCCTTCAGCTCCTGTCCCAGCTGTTGCTGCTTCACAGGCCTGGTGGGGTCTTCAAATAGTCCCCTTCCTCTGGGAACAGAGCAGCCCCCAAAGTCAGTGTCCATCCACATCCGGGAACCCCAACCCCAGGACTATGCACTGTGAGAGGGGGTGAACCTCTGGGAGAAGGCTAGTTGTGTGGTCTGTGATGGTGTCACACCCACAAGGTTGTGCAAATTGGTGGGCCAGCCTGGCTCCCGGGGACTGACCATGGACTGGAACTTGAGGTTGGGGGCTGGGCTAGGGTGAAGAAACCAGTTAAGGCCGGAGCTCCATTTTTAGAGAGTTTTCAACTCAGTCCATTCCTGTGCCTCAGCCTCTTCCAGATGGAAGGGAAGTGGAAGGACCTCACTCCAGAGTCCCTGGCCTGGGTTTTCTTAGGGTTCATGCCAGGGATTCAAAGTCTCCTCTTTAAGGCCTTGTAGAAGTGGAGAGAGAAATCTAGGTTATGCCTAGTGAGCTCCAGGAGACTTTCCTAAGCTAATAGAGAGGGATCTTGGGATCCCTGACACAGAGGAAGCCTCTGAGGTCTTCTCAGGCCTTTAACCTTCTAGAAATCATCTTCTACTCTGCCCTTCCCTTCATGCTGTCTTATTACTCAAGCACTTACACCTACTCTTCCGTCCTACTTCAAAGACGTTGGCTCTGACCCAGCATGGAAACCTTTGGTTGCTCTGGATCCACCCCCAGCCCTTGTGTCCACTGAACGTTGGCCTCAGCCCATGACACTGGCTATGGCTCCTGGCTTCACACATAGCACAGGCACCCACCAGGTGGTGCCGTTGGCCCCTGCCCAGGCACTCACACCCACTGGATGTTGTTCTTGGACTTCTTGCGGATGAGCTGGATGCCCTCCAGTACATTGGTGATGTCATAGATGCGACGCTTCTGCACATCTAGCACCTCAGCTGCCCAGTTCAGGTCCAGGACCCCATCCTCTGACTCGCTCAGGAGGTAAATGAACTTCTTGGTGAGCAGCCCCAGCGATGTGTCATACCGAGTCTTCTCTCCAGGGGACTTGGGTGCTGAGGGGGAAAAGGTTCACTCAAGCTCAGGGAGGGCCAGCCTGCAGAATCCCCTCCACCACCCTGGACCGGTAGCACCCCCCCCCCCCACATTCCTGTCTACAGAGCTCCATGAGGCAGGGGCGTTCACCACTGTCATCCAGAGAGGAACCTGATACCTACAAGGCAAGTGACCTGCTCAAGAGCTCTCACAGCCAGGGGCACCATCAGGACAGGAAGCCAAGGCTCCTGACCGCTGTTTCAGAGCACCTTTGCATCACAACTCAGGACAGCCATCTCAATCCCTAACCCTACCAGGCCGGCTTCCTGTGTGAAGCTCACTGTTCTAAGTACTTGCCATACACGAACACATTTAATCCTTACCACACTGCATAAGATTGGTGTGCAACTATTCCCATTCTTCAGATGAGAAAACTGAGGCACAGACAGATTAAGTAACTTGCTCAACTCAGCTAGAAAGTGGCACAACTAGGATTCAAAATCCAGACAATCTGACTCCAAAGTCTTCCTTCTTCACCATTACCCCATCTTCCCAGTCAGGAATTTGGATTTAGGGTAGAGAGGGACTGACAAGCCTGGATTTGAGAACACTTTGTAGATGCATAGTTGCTTTTTCTTCTTATGTATTATCTGAGGGGAATCAGTCACAGGCGGGCTCATGAAAAGGGTCCCTTTCTCAGTGAGGCTGATGTTGCAAGACATCTCAGCTGCAGCATTTTAAACCACAGGGGGACTTTTGCAATCAAGTGACTCGCAGGTCACATAGCAAGTCAGTGGCTAAACTAGTTCTAGAACCCGAGTTAGAGAGTCTCAGATTCATCTGGAAGGAATTCATTCAGAATTCCTTAACACACAATGGTGAGGGTTTGGCATACAGTACTTTGTCATATTTTCTGCACATGGCAGACATTACTAATTGATCAGTGCACTCTTTTTCACCAGTCCAGCTGAGCTTTAGAATTCTTCAATGCAGTACTCCGGGCAGCCTCTGCCAATCAATTGGAGAAGAAACCGTCTCATCATTCCTGATCTAGCTGTGCCTCGTTTTACAGATGAGACAGCTAGGGTTCACAGAAGAGGAGAGACCAGTTAAGTCAGGTCAGAGCCCTGCCTGGACACCAGTATTCCACCCAGTCACATACCTTTTTCATTAGGTCTGGGGAAACTAGCTTATCTCCCAATCAGTGCCTCAAATTCCTACTTTAACCAGGATATGAACTTAACTTTAGTATGACTCCAGTTGCACTCTGGATCTTTTTTTTTCTTTTGAGACAGAGTTTAATTATGTAGCCCAGTCTGGCCTCACACTCACAATCCTCCTGCCTCAGTCTGAGCCCTCACTGGATCTGGTGGCCTCTAGAGCCTGAGTCTCGGAGATGAGAGTGTCATTTGCTCCCCAGAAATCAGGACCTGCCCCTTCTGAATGCTCATTTATCAGACCACTGACATACATGATGAACAGCCTGGATTAAGTCAAACTTCACTTCCCCTTGTCTCACTTAGTTAGCTCTGTCGGCATGTGGGAGAAAGACCCTGATTAGCCCATGTTCTGTCCTGAGCGAGGTTCTCTTGTAGAAAGGCCAGATTGAACTAAATATGAAAACTGTTTTCTTGATGCTTATATATAATTTTATTATTATAGTATAATATATATTTCCAGAAAGATACACAAAGCATATTACTAGTCACTTTATCTCATTGAACATCCTTCTTCACAGTGTGAACTTTTTTGTTTGGTAGTTTTTACCATATGTATATTACTTTCATTTAAAAAAGAAAATTGGCTGCAGGGAGGAAAAGGAACCCTTCTACATTGGTGGGAATGTAAACTAGTACAACCACTATGGAAATCAGTATGGAGAGTCCTCAAGATACTAAAACTAGAAATTCCATTTGACCCAGCTATTTCTCCTTCTACATATCTTCCCGAACGAGTTAAAGACATCACATTACAGTTAATCCCCAAAAGTGCTAAATACATGCATTCTCATGCTTATAGCAGCACAATTCATAATAGCTACATCTTGGAAGCATCCTATATGTCCATCAATACATAAATGATAAGGAAAATGTAGCATTTATATACAATGGAGTACTATTCTGTCATAAAGAGTCATTTGTAGTAAAATGGATGTACCTTGAGTCCATAATGTTAACTGAAATAAATCAAGCTTAAATATTGCATGGTTTCTCTTATATGAGAAACCCAAATTATAAAGAAAGAACAATGCAAAGGATAGACAGTAGGATGTAGGCAGATAAGAGCTTTCTCAAATGGGAAGGGGGTCAGGAGATGGAGGGAAGGCGAGAAGAGGGAAAGGAGATGAGAAGAGGAATCAAGATGTGTCGTGCACATGGACCAACTCTGCACGAGGAATGTAAACAATATGTACTGCACATATGTGCTAATAAAAAGGAAGAAAGAAAAAGAAAGAAAATTGGAGGCTCAGAGTTAGAGGTCACTTCACTGGGATTAGGGATTTTTTTGCTGGGATTAGGGCCAGAACTGAGCCTTCCGACTTCTCTCTGAGTACGAAAACTTTTACAAATAGTAAGCTCCCAAAGTAAACACTGGTCATACTTTGGTCATGGGCGTGGGGTGTGACGTGGAAGAGGCATGTCCTTTTGTCCTGATTCCACACTAGCTGTAGGGCCCTGGGCCAGGGCTGAGTCTCAAACTGCATTATCAGAAGGGAGATACTCCTATCTACTGGGCAGGGCCCAGTGAGAGAGCACACAGGAAACCTTGGTAAACTAGCAAGTGTGGTCCATTTCCACTGTGGGCCCAATACTGCTCCTGATGACTTGGCCCGCTGCCCTCTGTCCCTGCCCCACTTTCTCCCCAGGTACCCAGCCTGGATAGAAGCCTACTTTTGGGGCTAGGAAGGCCGTCCACTCGGAAGCCCTTCCCCTTGGGAGTCCGGAATTCAGGGACTGCAGGCCTCCCGATACTCTCCAGATCCAGCTTCCTTTTGGCCTAGGAGAGAGGGGGGAGAGAGAGAGAGAGAGAGAGAGAGAGAGAAAGGCAGAGCATGAGAGTCAATCTTTCTTCAGCCTTTCCCTGACCTGGGGCCAAGACTTGAGGCCACCAGCAGCCACCTCCTGTGGCGGTTGGTCACTGTCCTGTGAAGCATGGTCACACTAGGTAAGAAAATCTCAAGGTCTGAGAAGGAAACATTCAGAGGGGGCAAGTCCTGTTTTCCAGGGAATGAGTGACACTCCTATCTCTGAGGCCCAGGCACTGGAGGCCACCAAATCCAGTGAGGCCTAGGCTCAGGCTCCCTTAGCCCAGGCCATGGGCTGCCTCTACCCCTCCATGCCCGGAGGACACACCAGGAAGAAGGAGTGGGTAGGGTCGGAACCACATCAGGCTGGGCACCACAGCTGCCAAGCAGCAGCTGGCCCAGCCAGACGGGGTGCCCATCACAGCCTCACAGCTGGCCCTTATCAGAGTGCAGCCCGGCATCCGCCCAGGCCTAGGGGACTTCCTGGCTCGGTGCCACACCCCAGGGAGGTGCCCACACGGGAAGCAGAGCAAACACTCCCCACCCCCATGTTTGGGCTGTCACTCAAGGGCCCAGGGCCTCCTGAATACTCTATTTGTCATTCTTTTTTCCACAGAGGGGCAGACAATGAGTCCTCCCCCAGTGTCTTAAGGACCAGCTGCTGAAGCCCCCCGCCGCCCCTCCCTGTTCCCGCCAAGCTTGGGAAACACCTGCTGGGGAAATCAAACCACAGACCCATCTGCTCCTCCCTGCCACCACAGCCACGGGGCCCCACAGAGGCCTGGAGCTACACTGAGCGGCACTGCCCAGAAAGGGCCTCCCTCCAGGTTAGAGCTGGGCAGGGCCAGGGCACTGGAGCACAGGTCAGGGGGCTGGGCTGGAACCCCAGGCTCACTGTGACCTGGGGAAATGGTCTTTATCTAGGTTTCCTCCACTGTAAAATGAGGTGGAGCTATGGTGCAGATTCAGGAGGACACTTCTATGAAGTTCTCAGCCTGTGGCTCAGCACACAGTAAGTATTCAGGAAATGCATGGTACTTTCCCTAAAATCCAATCTCAACATCCTCCTTCATAACCTTCTTGAGCCACTGAGCCCATTTCCTTCCTCTTCTGTCCCCCTTGCCCAGACCCCCTGGCTTGGCTTAGAGGCTTATTTTAACACTTGGTGGTGAAGTCATGCTCAGTGGGGCTGAGTCGTCTAACTGCTGCTACCCACAGCTGGGCTGACAGGTGGGTGACAGCTCCTCCTGCACTCAGTCCCCCTCTCCCTCTCCCGCCTCCTCCAGGAAGTCTTCTGGAGCTGGTTGGAGGAGCTCTGCTCCATCATTAGAAATGATGCTCCTCTCCACACCCCTACCAAGACCCGGATGTAATCCAAACAGCTCCCTGGCTCATTCCTTTTGAACGTTCCTTACCTATCTCTCAACTGGTGAAATCCTAGATTCTAGGGGAACCACACCATCCTGTCACTAAAGAAAGGCCCAGTCCTTCCCTGAGAACTTCCAAATGCTCTGAGCAGGCCCCAACACCATCTCCTCATGGAACCTTCCACACTGCAGGCCCCCATTTTACATTTGAAGGCATAGTGATGGGGTGAGCCTAAGGCCTTTATCCATCCTGATCAAGGCTGTCCACACCAGGGTCTTCATCCAAAAGAATACCAAGGACAGGGAGAGCAGGGGAGATCAGGCTGAGTGCTGCCTGAAGCAGAGACGGGGTGGCCCAGGTCTCCCCAACCCTACTCTCCTCTCCTACCTGAGCCTCCCTACCTGTAGAGCAGAGTAGGTGGTGAGGACCTTGACCAGATCCTTGTGCTGGGCCTATCTCATGCTCCTAGATTCCTGCAGTATCAGTACCGGCAATCTCTCCTGGCAGACAAGGTGTAGACTCAGAGGTTAGGGTGAATACCCAAGGTCACACAGACAAAGGCAGAGCCAGGGTCTGAACCCAAGTCCATCGGGTTTCAAGGCCACTTACCAAGCTGCCTCAGCTCCATCCCACCCCCCACCCCCAGGATTTGCTGGAATATAGGCCAAGGCCTGGCTCCCGTCACTTCACACACTCACACCCCAGCTCCCTGACTCCCCCCACCTTTAAGCTGCACTCCCAGGGTCTCTAGGCTGCAAAGTATCTTCCCCCTATGGACACCTCTCTGACACCTTTGGGCATAATCCACAGAAAAGTCAATGTATGGGGGCAAAAGGGGGTTGCTCAGTGTTGGAGCACTTGCCTAGCATGCATGAGGCCCTGGGTTCAATCCCCAGCACCAAAATGAAGACAAGGGAGGAAGGAAGGAATAAAAATAAATTCATAGCTAGGATGATCTTGTAGAACCAATGTGGCAGAGGACTAGCTCAAGGAGAGGTTGAACTCCAGTCCTGGGGGGTCAGACCAAGGCAGTTCTCAGCTAGGCACCCCTTCATCACTGGGTGAGTTGGGAAGTCAGCTGACCTCTTGAGCCACTTGTAAACCAGGGCTAATCCACTCCACCTCTGCTGAGGAGTCAGCAAGACAGTGTACTAAAACACTCCGCTCAGTGCCAGTGTTAAAGCTGCCAGCACTAAGATGCTGGGGCATTAGCAGAGGCAGAGTTCAAAATGAGCTGCAAAGAGACAGCAAGGGGCCCAGGAGAGCAAAGGTCCATAGCCACACCGGAGGCCAGCCTGGCTCTAACTTGGACCTGCATTGGCAGCCCCTTTGGCGTGGTTAGGATTCACCCTGCCCACACCCAGGAGAAAAGCACAGTTCCTTCCTGTACAGAACTCCCTGGGCACAACCCCTTCCAGCAGCAGGCTGAGGACACTGGGGTCACAGAAAGGGAAGTGACTAGCTCAAGGTCGCAAAGAGAGAGTATGGGACAGGAGCACAGGGAAGGAGCTTCACCTCACTTTCACCTCTCAGCTGTGCCACTTGGTAGCTGGGCAGACTAGATTGGCTGCCTCACCCCTCTAAGCCTACACTTCCTCTTCTGAGCTGCCTTGCAGAGTTTAGTAAAATGTTTATTTTCTGCCTGGTATGGCAGTACACACCCTCAGTCCCAGCTGCTCAGTAGGCTGAGGCAGGAGGGTCATTTGACAACATAGCCCAGGCAACACTTGAGCCAGCCTGGGTAACATAGGAAGACCCAGTCTCAAACAAAGCATATTTTCTTTTACAGAAATCTAGGTAACATAGACAAATTAAAGAGAAAGAACCACTGCAAGATCCAACTGTCTTCAACAGCTTCCCGTGGGGCTGAGACATAATGCCATGTGCCTAGCCAGACGAGGGACTCAGCACAGAGAAGGGAGCTCTGCACAGGAGTATCCCCCTAGTCTCCAGAGAGTGGTGGCAAGAGCACGGGACATGGAGCAAGAAGAGCCGAGTTCTAGCCTTCATTCTGCCATTGCAGTTGGTTGCAATCCCTGAAAAGGGCAGCTCCCCAACAAATCCTGCTCACCCCACACTTTGCCGCTTGGCCACAAAGCAGGCAGCCACACCCAGGGTTGGGCTTGGAACTGTTCCCAGTCACGCCCTTGTGAAATGAGTAAGCAGGGGCTGGGGGGCCCTGGGCATCTGGGGACCACAGGGATGGGGATCTCATTGGCCTGGCAGGTCTTTAGGGGGTCTCGTACAAGGAGATCCCCACTTCCTGGATGGTGACTTGGGCAGGTGTCTTCACTTCTCTGCTCAGTCTCCTCATGTGCAAGGTGCCTCAGCCCGGGCATCTTGTCCAAGATAACAAACGTGACGAGTGCCAAGCAGTGCTTGGCATAGGAGAGGTGTTCAGTCAAAGAGAGCCATTCTTGCTAAGATCACTGAGCCCCTCTGGGAGGGAGGTACAGACAGTTGCACTCGGGTTCCTCTGGGAGTGATGAAAGTTCAAAACCACGGCTGTTACAGAAACTCCTGAGTCTGAAAGCAGCTGGCCAGAGGAGAGACTGGGCACACCCCCGAACCCCCTTCCCTGGTAACACCAGGCTCCTAAGTCGGGCAGTGCTGGGGAAAGTCAAGGCTGCATAGAGAAGGCTGTCTTGAGGGGCAGCCCCCCCACCTCCCTGTATGACTTTGCACAGGTCATATCCTCTCTCTGACCCTCAGTTTCTCCTGTAATATGGAGCTATCAACTCCATCTACTTCACAGGCTACAAAAACATTTCAGGCTGTAAAATGCTGAACACAAGACACCACAAGATAATAGCTTTCTTCAGTTGCTTGTCCTATAAAATGGGGATAACAGCATACCCACTTCCTACTCTTCTAGTGGGAAATAATGTGCAGGAAGGAACTCTGGGAAGGTAAAACAAGTGTGGTTCCAATGCCAGGAATTGGGGCTCTGCCTACAGCTAGAGATGGCTTGCATTGGTGCCTGCCAACTGGCACAGGTCTGACCAGATGCCTCTGAGACCATGGGAAGTCATCTTGTCCTTGTATCCCTACCCACAAATAAGCAAACATACAACACCCCAACTTCCCTCCCGGAGCCTGGTTCCAAATCCCAGTACTGGGAGCTGGAAGTGACCAGAGATGAGCCAGCACCATGCATTTTCAGAGAGGAAACTGAGGCCTAGACTTGTCCAAACAATACATGAATTAGAGGCAGAGCCAGAATCAGAAACCAGGCTCCCCAACCCCCAACCTCATCCTTGTTCCCCCAGGTCCTTTCCCACTCCACCCCCACACTGAAGTGGTTTCATTGCCCCAGAGCTCCAGAAATTCCACTCCCACGACACACACCCTGTGTTGCAGCCTAATGCCACCACACTCTGGACCCTCCCTGGCCACAGCCTGGGGGCTTGAGGAGGAAAGACCCATTTGAGCAGGAGGCCAATGAGGCTGTCTGCATTGGCATCCACTACTGGCTATCAGGAGGAAGACTGGGCCTGGGTAAGGGTGGAAGGCAAATACTTGGGAAAAGTTTAGCTGGATGAACAATCTGGAGTCTGCCCAAGCCACTCTGGACTGAGAGACCTAGATCTACCCCGGGTATAAAGTCCTCAAATTCCAAGCCCTGTGCCTAGATAATAACTGATACCCAGTTCTGCTTTCCAGACCAAACACTGTGCCCATGGTCACACAGAGGACTAGGGACTCCCAATGCAGTCCTCTTTACCCTGCTACCAAGGACGAGATTACTTCATCCAAAGTCTGAAAATGACGAGGTCTTTTACTAGGTCCTGGGAGCAATGGATTGTTTTGGAAACTGAAAGCTCATCTTCCTCCTCCCCAAAACTCAACTCCAAGCCCCCCTCCTTCCACCTGGAAAAGCACAGAGGGAAGCAGTTAGGGTCCCCAGCATTACCGGCAGCCGGCCGGCCGGCACGCAGCGCACAGCTTGGCCGTCAGGTCCGTGGGGGGTGGCGTCGAGGCAGGTGCCCGGCGCTGCAGCGGGAGGCACCGTCTGCGGGAACAGCGAGGTGTAGTAGGTGGTGGTGGCTGGGCAGAGCTGGGGGCTGCCAAGGCCGGGCGGCCACAGCTCAGTGGGACTCAAAGCGGGCACCCCCTTGGGGGGCTGCGTAACGGCTGGGGCCAGGGCCCGGGGCCCGCGCAGCATGGCGACTGCGGCGACCCCCACCCAAGCTGGCCTGGCGCTCCTGCTGGCACTTGCGGGCTTTGGAGCCTGCAGCGGCTCACGCGGCCGGCGGCATGGCGCGGAGGCCCGGGAAAGCCGCCAATGGACGCTTGCGGGGCACGACCGGACCCTCCCCTCCTGGCCCGCGGCCGAGCCAAGCAGTGCTTGGAGATCGCCTGGCGGGCAGTGGCACTGCCAGGGGGTGTTCTCCCCGAAAACGGCCCGCGGCCCGAGCGCCTGGGCGCTGGGGTCCGGCCCGACCGATCTGAGGAAGGGTCCCCGGAGCCCGCGAGCTTAGCAGAGACGCGATGCGCTCGGACAGTGGAGGGAACCTCACGGCCCCGAGTCGCTCTCTGATCGCTCTCTGGTCCCCAGCCTTTCTCGGTTTCTTTTTTCTTTTCTGTCTCTCTCTCTCTTTTTTTTTTTTTTTTTAGCGCCAAACTACGAGCCGCGAAATTCAGATTTCCCGCGGAAAACGCAGCGCTCCGATTGGCTGTTGCAACAGGTACAGGCTCCACCCACCGGAAAGGACCAGCTTTCGAAGCGCCGATTGAGCCACCAGCTTTACTGCTTAAAGGGCCCGCGACGTGTGCTATTTGCCCAGCGTCCGCCAGAGAAGGTGGTTTCCGGCATGTACGGTACAGACTCGGCCCGAGCGGTGTACAGCTTGGTGATGAATGGGCTCGGGCTCTCTGGGGTTAGGAGAAAACATTTTGGTGCGGGAGTCAGCACCTGAAGCTACACGCTACAGTGGATAGCGACACGGCCTTTTATTAAATTTGCACTGCTGCTTAGCTAGATTATATGTATTTATGTCCCATTTCCTGCTAAAATTAAAACCAGGATACCTGTACTCTTACTTGACAAGGGTCGAGGGACGGAGCTTAACATTTAATTCCTCTTCCTAGGGAAAAACTAACATCTACTGAGCACCTGCTGTATGTCAAACACCACGTTAGATCATTAGATGTGTTGTTTTATTTAATTTACTCCAACAACCCTGGGAAGAGGAAGGTAAAGTGGGAGAGTCTGAGAAGGCGGGGTAACTTGCCCAAGGTCGTACAGAGAGATCTGCCACAGTCCAGCTCAGGAGCCCTGGTCTTTCCAGTAAAGGGCTCCTCCCGACTCTTCCCAAGCCGCGCCCTGCACGTTCACAGGCACCACGGGGTGGGGGTCCAAGTGCGGAGCTCCCTCTTGTTCACAGTTGTCTTCCCAGACTTAATGCTCAGTAAATATTTGAACATCTCCAGGTTTCTCCTAAACACTCCTTTTGTCACAAGGGTTTCCCTCCCTCGTTTGAAAACCTTCATTGCTGATCATCCCTTTACATTCCTCATCTCTCCTGTTGACAGAGGCTCAGGGAGGTGACAGGCTGTGAGGAGCAGGTCTGCCGATTCCTGCCTGGTGCTGTGTGACTTGTATGGAAGCCTGAGCCTTGGCATGTGAAGCCCTCCGTGGTGGCTTTGTCACCAGCATTTCTGGATTCAAATTCAGGCCCTGCTGACTTACTGGCTGTGTGACCCCAGGCAAGTTTTTTTTAAGTCTCTGAGCCTTGGTTTTCTCTTCCCAATAACACTTACCTCATAGCATTATTGGGAAATCTAATGAGATAATGCAAGTAAAGCTTTCAGCACAGATCCTGGTTCAGAAGGAGCTGCACGAATTGGCAGCTGTCACTACATCTCTGACCTTATCTCCAGTACACAGACCCTTTTAATCTCCATATCTCACTGGTCCTTCAAGGCCCGGGTTAAACTTCACCTCCTCTAAGAAGCCTTCCCTGCCTGCTTCCCTCTCACAGCCAGAGCTCCTCTTGCCCTCTTCTGACCCATAGTGTGTTCCACCTCAGCAATCAATGCTTTTCATTCCTTGTTTATCAGTTGGGTTGTAAGCTCCTTCAAGGGTCTAGGTCAGATTTCTCTTTGAATGTCCCTCAGAGCCTGGCCTGGCACATACAGAAGGTGCGTAATAAGTATTGGTCGTGGTTTGCTCATCTGTCTGTCCAGCAAAGAGTAGCTGAAGTGAATAAGATCTGAAATTGAAGGTCAGCAGGCCTCGATTAAATCCTGCTCTCTACTTCCTAGCCGGGCAGGCCTGGCAGCTTGTCCACCTCTCTTAGCCTCAGTTTCCTCAACCATCAGATAAAGACCGTGCTACTACTTGGCCTGTTTCCCAGGAATTCAGAGACAGTATACAGTGTCAATGGTGATGATGATTGAGAGTATTTATTGAGAAGCTATAGCTAGTATTTATTCTGCTGGGCTCCAAGCATCATCTTACCTTAAGCATTGTCTGTGATCTTCACAACCCACCTCTGACATAAGACACTATGATTATCCCCATTTTACAGATGAGGGAATCTGGAAAGAATTGTAGCAGAGCAGGTTTGGGAAAGAAGCAGGGCCCCAGGGCCAGGGAGGGAGATGGGGGTGGCAGGGTGGAGCTGGGAGGAAAGAAGGGAGCCAGCAGGGGGCTGAGAGCCAGCTCTCTGCGGTTGAGTTTCGGGCAGCTGGGACTGGCTTTGGAGTTTCACTGCCTGTGAACTAACAAATTCTTGCAAGAGGTGTAGGGCACAGTTCTCCTTGGGCCCAACTTCCTGTCCTTGAATTCATTCCTGGTGTTGTGATCTTGGTCAGGTCACTAGACCTCTGTGAACCTCAATGTCCTTATCTTTGAAATAGAGATGGCAAAAGTGACCTCTCCATTTGCTGCCAGGACTCTAAGGTATTGGATTTAAAGTCCTTAGAAGGGTGCCAGGCACACAGGGTGTACTTGCTATAATGCCAAGCTATGCATTTTACATGCATTATTTTGTTGAAACCTCTGAACTATCTTATCATAGAGATAACAATTTGGACAGATGAGAAACTTGAGGCTGAAACATGTAAAGGGACTGGATTAAATGCTGGTTAAAGATGAGATGAGGATCTAAACTCCGATATTTCTCTCCCAGGGCACTGAGATCTTCTGAACAAAGAACCAGCCCCAGGGCCCCTGTGAAGGAGGGGGTGTTTTGCCAATGAGTCAGGGGTTCCAGGGCTGCGGACACTGTTGGAAATGGAAAGTGTGTGCTGCACAACTAACTCATCAGTTAAGAGTGCTTAATGCCATTTTCCAGGAGAGGAAACAGGCACGGGGACATTAAGTGACTTGGCTGAGACCACAGAGCTGGTGAGTGAGGAAGCCCCATCCCAGCCAAGCCCAAACACCCCTGAAAAACTCCCCAAGCCAGTACAAACGTCCATTCTCACTGAATCTCTCAGCCTCACCGCCTCTTCTGGAAAATGCCTCATTTTCCTCTGCTCAAAGTCCTGTTCATCAGAACTCAAGCCTTAATACGTACTTCCTGTTCTAAGGTTCTCAGTGTTCAGATAAAGATCACCTGTTCAGGTGACCCCAAAATCACAGAGAAGGTGTGGGGAAGCAGGGGGAGAATTAGCCAGGCGTGGTAGCACCTACCTGTAATCTCAGCACTCTGAGAAGCTAAGGCAAGAGGATCTCAAATTTGAGCCCAGCCTGGGCAACCTAGTGACTTAATGAGACCTTGTCTCAAAATAAAAAATAAAAAAGGGCTGGTGATGTAGCTCAGTGTGAAGGCCCTGAGTTCAATCCCCAGTACTGGAAAAGAAGGGGGTAGATCTCTACCCCACCTTCATGCTTCTTCTACAACAAACATGCATTACTTTGGTAATGGGAGAATAAAAGTTGTTTAAAGGGCTGGGGATGTTTTTCAGTGACAGGGCCCTTGTCTAGCACAGGGCCCTGGTGAGGGCCTTTGATTCCATCCTCAGTACTGCAAAGCAAAGAAAGAGGAGGAAGAAGACGGAGGAGGAAGACGGAAGGAAGAAGTTGTTGCTTCAGAAAAGCTTTGCTAATGATGATAACGCTTGCTGGAAAATTGTTGTAATGTGGGGTTCCTGGGTTTTCAACACAGAAAAGGCCGTATGAATGTTTGTTAAATACATGAATCCCAAACCCTGACACTCCATTAGCTGTGTGCCTGTGAGTGTGTCACAATACTGTTCTGAGCCTCAGTTCCTTCACCTGAGAAATGGGGTCATCATGGCTGTCTCCTAGGGTGACTGTGTTGAAGTGAAACTGGGATGAGATAGGAATGTGCTGTGTGTGTGTGTGTGTGTGTGTGTATGTGTGTGTTTATCAAAATTTATTGAGAAGGCAAAAGATTCTGATGCACAGTTCTCCAGAGAAGAGATATAGAGGCTGATAAGCACATGAAAATAAGCTCCACAGCATCAGTCATTTGAGAAAGGATGAAGCCACAGGGATACCACATCATGCTCACAGGAATGGCTATCATAAAAGAGATGGACATGTATTTAACAAATAGGATGTGGAGAAACTGGAACCCTCATTCATTGCTGGTTGGGATGTGTATGGTGCAGCTGCTTTGGAAAACAATTTGGTAGTTTCTCCAAAAGCAGCTCTCACAGAGATACTGCATGATTTGGCAATTCTATCTCCAGGTATATAGCCAAGAAAAGTGAAAACATGTCTAAACAAAAGTGTATACATAAATTTCATAGCAGCATTTATTAGTAAAAAGAAAAAGAAAAAACCCCAAAGTTCATCAACTAATGAACAGATAAAAAATATATCTATATTTTAAAAATTATATAATGGAATATTACTCAGCCATGAAAAGGAAAGAAGTACTGACCCATGCTACAACGTGGAGAAACCTTGAAAACATGCTAGCTGAATGCCTATAAACCAGCACTCTGGGAGGCTGAGGCAGGAGGATCACAAGTTCAAGCCTAGCCTGGACAACAGGGACTTAGCCTGTCTCAAAATAAAAAAAAGAGCTGAGGATGTAGCTCAGTGCAAAGGCCCTGAATTCAATCCCCAGTTCTGGACAAAGAAAACCAGTATTACACTAAGTGTGTGAAACCAGACCCCAAAGGCCACACTTGTAGGCGTCTGTGTATATGAAGTGCTCAGTATGGGCAAGTCTACAGCGACAGAAAGTAGACTAATAGTTGCCAGGAGTGGGTCAGACTCATTTTACAGATTGGAAAATGAAGCTCAGAGAAGACAGCGGCCACTGTGCTCACCTGTGTGATGCTGGCCTGGCTGGTGACTTCACCTCTTTGAGCTTTAGTTTTTTTGACTGTAAAGTGGAGATAATGACGTCCCCTGAGAGGGTAGTCTATAGGGCAGCCTGACTGTGAGACCTTATGCAGATGTTACTTCCTTCTCTCCTCCTGCCTTTGCGTGGAAGCGGCCAGGGTTTAACGGTGAAGGCTGCCATCTAGAGGCGAACTCCGGCACCTGCCGAGGCGCTGTGGCGGGCTGTGTTCTCGAGGTACTGACCGCCTGTGGGCTTGAGGAAGAGACAAGGATGTGAAGGATACAACCCTGCTGGGGAGCCCAGGGCCACCAATTTGGCCAGATCCCTCCCAGATGTTTCCAGACCCTGGAGATGGTTTTCACAGATGTTGGGTCCTGCGGAGGTGGGAAGGAGAGCCATCAGATTTAGGTCCCATGGAAGGAAGGGCCCCTATAATTCCTGGAGTTATCAGTTTATTCCCTGCTGTTCCTGAAGGATCTCATTAAAATGCACACCAGACCTTGTCACTCTCTAAGCTTAAGGCCTGGCAAGTAGCTCCCTGCCAGGGCCTGGCTGTACCTAACACCCAGCACCCCTGACCTTTAGCCTCTTCACACATGGGCCTTAGGTTCTGATCAAACACACTCCTCCTAGCTCCCCCTCTGACCGCTCTGCTCCTCATTTGCCTGTGATGTTCTCTGCTTGAGACATCTCTCTCCACCTCTACCACCAGGGAAAAACTGCCCTGTTCTCAAATTCCTTCTTTTCTTTATACCAGATAAACAAACCACTGAGAATGTCATGTGGCCCATATCCACACAGCATCTCACAGAACCCTGAACAGAAATGAGTTGAGTTTGTTTGTTTGTTTTTGGTACGGGGGATAGAACTCAGGACCTTGTGCTTTCGAGGCAGGTGGCAGAACCACTGAGCTAAATCTCCAGCCTCTTGTTTGTTTGTTTTTTGTAGTGCTGGAGATTGAATGCAGCGCCTTGTGCATGTTACAAAAGTGCTGTACCACTGAGCAACATCCTCAGGCCAAAATGGGTGTATTTAACTCTTCAGAGTGACATAATTGAAACACAGGATGGCAAAATCAAGAGTCGAGGTCAAAACAGACCTGCCTGCAGTCCTAGCTACTCAGCAGGCTGACGTGGGAAGATCACTTGAGTCCAGAGGCCAGCCCTGGGCAGTACGGTAAGACCTATCTCAAAACGGGGGGCAGACCGGGGCTGGGGGTATAATTTAGAGGTGGTGCACTTGCATAGCATTTGTTCTTCCCACTCTTCCCTCATGGGTTTGATCCCTAGCACACCCCCCAAACAATCTGTTTTTGCTTCTGTATTTTGGTACCGGGGATCAAACTTGGGTCCCTGCGATTTCAAGGCAGGCGGCAGAACCACTGAGCTGATCCCGGGCCCCTACCCAAAACAATACGAACCGATTGCTAACATTGAAAAATGAGGCTCAGAGCTCTTTGGAAATAAACAAGACACCCAGTCTTTGGAATTCAGGTGGTGGTGGCCACAGGATGGGTGGTGCTGGCTATAGCATCCATCTTTCGGAAGCTGGCCCTGACCCCTGCCCCCCACCTCCTGTTAGCAATCCCAATCTGTCATCGGCTCACATCATAATTACAGCTGTTTTTATGTTTTGTGCTCCCAACAGCCTGAACAGTTCCTCCTTTTCTCTATCTTTACACCTCAATATCCAACACTGAGAAGACTCACAGAATTGCTTATTGAACTAATCACCATAAAAAGAGTTTTGGAGTAGTTGAAAGATCACTTACAATCCCATGAGTGCCTCTAGCCACTATCAGAGTCTCTGTTACTCTTGGTGAAGAGAAATGTTGAGTCAGAGACCCTGGGAAGCCAGAGGTCTTCACGGGGGCCAAATTCTCAGGTACTTCCTTCTCTAGGCCTATGGAGGCAGAAGCATAACTCCACACTTTCTAAACCACCTCTTTCCCCCTCCAACCCATCCTCTGATCTTTTCTCCCCCACAGGTGGATAAAAAGTGATGCTAAACTAGGCATGGTGGAACACACCTATAATCCCAACACTCGGGAGGCTGAAGCAAGAGGATCACAAGTTTGAGGTCAGCCTGCAATACATATCGAATTTAAAGCCAGTTTGTGTTACATAGTGTGACACTGTCTCAAAAATAAAAAAACAAACAAAAAAGGATGCTAACTGGGTTGGGATTGAAGCTCAGGAGAGAGGACACTTGCCTAGAATGTGCAAGGCCCTGCTGGGTTGGATCCCCAGCACCAAAAAAAAGATGCTAATCACTGAAAATCCAAAACTTTTTTGTCAGTGTTGAGGATTAAACCCAAGACCTCATGCATGCTTGACAAGTGCTTCACCACTGAGCCACATCGTCAGCAAAACTCCAAGCTTTCTAAGTGTTGATACACCACCACAAGTGGAAAATTCCATGCCTGATCTGATAGGATGGATCGCAGTCAAAATGCAGTTGCACTAAAAATATTGTACACAATCACGTGCAGCTTATGTATATAAGGTGGATATGAAATGTAAATCATTTTACATGTTTAGGCTCGGGTCCCATCCCTGAGACACTGTACTTAATTATGCACATAGGTCAAAACCTGAAATCTAAAGCACTTCTGGTCTGAAACATTTCAGATAAGGGTTATTCTCTACCTACACTAGCAAAGCGAGGGCACTCACACCTCAGATCCACTGCAGGGATCTCAGTCATCCTGTGAAGATGCCACATATATGATTGTCCTAACATCCTATAAATTGTGTATTACCATCACTCCCGTTTTACAGATGGAGCTTCATAAATTTGCCCCAGGCCACAGGGCATTTCTGGAGCCAGGACAGACTGGCTCTCACTCACCCTGCTCTCTTTCTTCTAGAAACATGGGCTTCAGCATGTGTATGTAGGACAAGAACCCCACCACACAGGATGGGTGTGAGGACTAGATGTAACAGGTGTGGCATCAGGAACACTGTACATAATACTCAGGAAGAAGTCAGTCCTCTTTTTTGCTCCTCTCTAGCGGGCAACTAACAATTTCAGCAACTGGCCACCAGAGGGAAGTCATGTGCCTAAGACCTAAGCCTTCCCTGGGGCCTGGTTACTGCTTTGACGTTAAGAATTCTGCTGAGTCCCTTTTCCCCTTATGTTCAGCCCTGGGATCAAGGACATTTCTCACCAGCGTGGAACCTCAAAGAACTGACCCATAAGGGTTATGCCTTAAACCCATCCAGGGCCCCTTTACCAACATCAGCTCTGGGACGGGAGGGTGGGGGCTGAATGCTGAGGGGGCCGTATGCTGAGGGGGCCCAGCTGTGTCCCATTTTCCCATTTGGTAGTGGTAGTGGTGGAGGGTGGCAATTATCAGCAGTTCCCCTCCTGCTGGAGGCTGGGTTCCTGGAGTCACAGCTGCAGGCTGGTGGGTAGCAGGGAAGGCTTTGGAATTGTCTCCCTGGGGGTTTCCATGGTTACAGATTGACGCAGGCAGCCCACTAGACTGGGTCCTTTATCTGCATTGTCTCCTGGGGAGACAATGGGCTTTGGGGATGGGGGCACTCTATGTAGATCACTACCTCAGCAGAGGCCTTGTGTGACCTGTGCTGTGAACCGTTTGACCCCAGCTGCTGGGGCTGAAGGAGCTGGGTATAGGAGTCAGCCTTGGCAATCACTCCTTGTTTTGGGGTACAGCACTGCTGCTATGGAGGGGCTGGAGAGGCCATCATGGGGTGACATAAGCAAATCCGAGGCTCCCAACAACAAAGCTACAATATCCACCAGGCACTAAATAAAATGCAAACTCTTTGGAGTGAGCTGGCCTAGATCAAATCATGACCGTCTTTTACTGGTTGTGTGATTTGGGCAAGTTAATTTACCTACTTGAGTCTCAATTTCCTCATCTGGAAAAGAGGACAACAAGGGTTTAATAAAATTGCTGTGGAGAGGCACCAAGCACAAAATTTGGTGTCAAGATGGTGCTCAGAGAGTACCTGAGTCCAGAGAGACTCATAGTAACTCATGGTACTTCTTGGGACATGGGGCTGGCTCTGTCACTCTGCAGCCTTAGCTAAGACCTTTTTCTCTGGGCCTCAGCTCCTCCATCTATGACCTGGGGAACCCAGGTTTATAAAAGTTGATATGAGACAATGATAAGAAAGTGCTTGGAAAAGCAGAAATCAAACCACTAACACACAGCCCTGCCTTCTAGGACTTATATGGAGTTTGAAAAGGCAATACATAATCTCAGGGGCCTGTGGTATTTGTGGAGGTGGAATCTTTGGGGCTATGGCAGTTAAGTGAGGTTTTTCCGAAGGAGGTAAAATGTAAGTGGGCTTGTGGGGGGTGGGGGTGGGGTGCTGAATCAGTGAATTATCCAGAAGATTCTATTGCACTATGCCAAGGAAAAGCAGAAGCCCAGAGGAGTGAATGGACTCAGCTCTCTGCCACCCAGCGTAATATCTTTCCTGGTCACAGCTGTCTTCTCCAGGGAAGAGTATATGTAGGTGAGGAGGAAAGGCAGGAGTAGGGAGAGCTATTGTCATTTGTGTCCCATGCAGCAGTCCCATTTATGGGACACCTTTATCTGAGACAAATTGATCATTAGCTCCATTTTATAGATAAGGAAACTAAAGATTTCCATTGTTTTCCAATTGATTTGGCAGGAAAATGCATAAGGCCCAAGAATAAAATAATTTTTTCTGGAGTATGGAATAGAGAATTTGCCTAAGGGAAAAGTAAAACAATTTCTTCATGCTTAAATCATCAGCAGAGAGAACCAAAATCTTTCAAATGTTTATTACTCATCACTCCATTATGAGGCACTCAGCACAGACCTTTGGCACAAGGTAAATGTTCAGTAAAGGAAGTTCTTATCACCATCCCCATTATTAATTGTTTATGTGTGTGGTGCTAGGGATGGAATCAGGGTGCTGTACCACCAATCTATCGCACCCCCCTGGAATTTTGATTTTGAGTTTTGAGACAAGGTCTTGTTAATTTACCCAACATACTTCAAACTTGTGATCCTCCTGCCTCAGCCTTCCAAGTAGCTGGGATTACAGGTGTGTGCCACTAGGCCTGGCCATCACCATTATTATTATATTTATTACTGTGCCTTCACTGCTGAGGATATAGGTAAATAAAACTCCTTCCTTTTTGGTTTTTTTTTTTTTCTTTTTGAGATAGGGTCTTGTTATGTAGTGCAGGCTGGTCCAGGTTGGCCTCAAACTTCCTTCAATATTCTTGTCTCAGCCTCCTGTGTGCTGGGATTACAGGTATGCGCCACCATGCCTGGCCTTCCTCGTATCTTAGAGAAGTTCAGCCTAGTGAGAGGGAAGGAGGTAGAAAAAAAATAATCTCTCACCTGCTTAACACTTTTACTTACACCCCCTTATTGAATTCTCAAAATAACCTTTGGAGGAAGGTTTTTTTTTTCCCTTGCCTTTTTAGAGAAAAGGAAAAAATAAGGCTCAGTGGGCTTCATTGACTTGCACAAACATTGTAAAATATGAAAAAAATAAGATTGGGGGTAAAAACACCTTTAATGGCTTAACAGAGGTGTTAAAAACCAATAAAGTATATAATTATATAAGGCACATAGATCATAGCCCCAATTTATTAAATAATACATAAAAGATTATTTTTTTTACTGAATTGCAAAATGAGCCAGGCTTCTAAGAGCTTTCATTTGTGGGGCCAGGTGCTTTCTACATCCCTTGAATCCTCCAAAGAACCCCTAAAGGTACAAGTGGAGAGCCCCTTTGAGAAATGAGGAAGCTGAGTCTCAGAGAGGTGAAGCTATGTGTCTGGGGTTGCACAGCAAGGAGGGCATACACCCAAGGCTGAGCCTCTCAGGCTTAGAGCTGGAGCCAGGACTTCCTTCTTGGGCAGTTCTGCCATGGATACAAGGCTACTGCTGTTATGGGAGGCATCCCCCTTCCTGCCTTTCTCCAGAGAGCAGGCTGAGGGGCGGAGATTGGAAGCAGCGCTCCACGTAAGAGGACTTGTTTCAGCCCATTTGGGAAGCAGCCCAGTATAGCGTGGCCTCTCAGAGCATGTGTGTCCACAGGCGTGTGTGTTCATGCAGGCTCATGTGTGACTATGTGTGAAGCTGGCCCCATGCCAGGTCTCACAGAACCATGTGATAAAAATCTGGTACCTCTTCCTGATATGTAAATTTTACTAAACAAAAAATTAAAATAAAAAGCCATCATGATTTTATATGAAGATACAGATGACTATGGAATGTATGAGAACAGATGTTTCTTGGCAGGCTGAGAAAATGAATAAACTAGCCTTTGCATGGGTGCAGAGGGGTGTGTGCCAAGCACTAATCTAAGAGTTACATATGTTAACTAATCCTCACCACAACTGTCTGTAGGACAGATTACTATCGCTCCCATTTTACGATGTAGAGACTGAAGACAAAAGAAATTAAGTCTCGTGTCCAAGTTCACACCGGTAGTTAAGTGGAAGAGTTTGGGAATACGTGGGTATTTTGATACCTGTATGGTCCGTTGCTTGTTCAGTCAAAGGTGTGCAAGTTTTGCACATGAAGGTGACCATAAAGAAGCAGGTGACTACCTCCTGACAAAATGACAAAGGCTGCCAATGGTGAGCAGGAGGGGCTCACCTGTGCTGGGTAGTCTGGCTCTGTTGCCTTTCATAATTCTTACACCCAATGTGTGTGAGAGAGACAGTGCACACATGCAATGGTGTCGGGTAGCTGCCCACACAGCTAAGAAGTGGCAGAGACAGGCTCTGTCTGATCACAAAGCTGCTGCTCTCACCCAGGACCATGTCACCTCCGGCTTCCAGGCCTTGCCCCCGCTGGGTTGTATTTCCCTTCCCCCCAACTCCCGCTGTCTTCCAGGGAGGGTGGGTTCTGGTCAGTCTAGGCCTGGACGGATTCACAGGGCTTGATGTGCTGTCTCTCCACCAGCCAAGATCACACTTTTCATGAAATCCTTCCAGACCACAACAATGAAAAAGTAATAGCTAGGCCCTAATGGGATGTGTGAAAATCTGGGGTTTTTCTTTTTCTTTTTTTTCTTTTTTTTTTTGGTATTGGGGATCAAACTTGGGATCTTC